GAGAGAGAGAGAGAGAGAGAGAGAGAGGGGGGGGGGAATACGAAATGACGCGTTCGCAGGTCGTACGGGACGAAACAAAGAGCGGAAGTTACGTGCTAACGACAGGAACTGCCCGTCTCCCCCGTTCGATCGCACGTCGACAGGTGAGAGAAACTCACATCACCCTGGCTTTCCTCGACGGGGAAGATTCTGGGCGATAAACCGGAGCGAGGAGGATAACACACGCGGGTAACTCGCGAGTGAATGGGAAACGCCCGTGTAATGACTTGGTGAGGAAAGGAAGCTCTCTCCTTCCGACGGTCTGGGCTTCCTCCCGCTGCTGTCGACCTGAGCTTTACCGCGCAAATTGGCGGAAAATTAATTAAGCAACGTATACGCCATTTCCCTCGTAAGCCGGCCAGCCGACCGCCCGACAATGTAGCCGAGGTTTACTCCGTCTTATCAGCGTTCATCTTCCGCAACGTGCGCGCACGTGTTATCACCGATATTGTTCTCCCCGGAACTCGCTATATACGAGGAGGAGGATACCGCAGAGCGACTAATCGGAAAACAATATCGCGCGAGGTCCGAGCGCGATCCTTCTACGACCGGCGACGTCAAAACATAAGCTTCATTACGCACGTGGTGTGATCAAGTCACCGCATTGGGCTGAAAGACGTTTGACGCTCGCGTCATTTCCGTTGAAAAATCTTGATAAAGCCGGCGGCTACGTCGCGCGATAAACCTCGGTCGGTCGACGTGCACATTGTATCGCGCACCTTCATCTTCTCCCGACCCGGCGCGCGGCGCGCTCGGTGCTCTTCTATTTTTACGCGCGTTTTATTCAGTATTAAGGCTCTGCTGTTCTCCTTCTCGCTCTCCTTGCTCGTCGTCGTTTCCTTTGATCTACCGGTCGGTTTAATCGGTTTAATTGATCGAGCGTGTCATATTACACGACGCGTTCTATAAAGTATAATAATCACGCTCGAAAGTCGCCCTCCTTGATAACGTCAGTCTCTTCGCGAGGCGAGGGAGCAACGTCTTGATTAAAGACGAGTTTCCGGACGGGCGCGACGGGAAGCCTCCGCCCGACGGCAGTCGAGGAAAAAGTTCAATCGGGGAAAAGGCAGGATCGCGGCGCGCTGGAGGAGGTGCGTGCGCGCGATTGCAAGCGGAGCAAGAAGAAATGATTAATGGCGGCTCGCCGATCAAGCGACGCAGCTGTTGGGGTGATTCGCGGCTCCATAACAGATCTCGAATCAGTCACGGCTAATTCCGCCGCACGGAATATCTTCCCCTGCGACGGCCAACAACAATCGCCCCTACGGGCGAAATGAAAAGCTTATTAGACAATTACATCGATCGAATCGGCACTCAACGCGACACAATCGACATAACTTGCCCTCTAGCGCTCGTATAATTTTTATCATAAAATCCACTGTCGATGTATATCCGGAGAGAGACAGAGACAGAGAGAGAGACAGAGACAGAGAGAGAGAGAGAGAGAGAGAGAGAGAGAGAGAAAACGTTATTTATTGAGCGCTGGAACAGTGTCCCCTCAAGCGCAAGGAAGTAAAAAATGATACAAAGAATTTTGAGTTATACATTAGTTGAAGGAATATGAAAGGTAAGTATAAACAAGTAATGGAATATAAAATAAAATACAAAAAAAAATAATAATATAATGAATATTGGTATAAATAATAATAGATTCATATAGAGTAATATAAAATAATAGAGCAATAATTAGACAGTCGAGGAGTGAACACGGTTGCCAGTACTGTATTTCATACTGTTATAGCAGAGAGAGAGAGAGAGAGAGAGAGAGAGAGAGAGAGAGAGGGGGGGGGGGAAGAGAGAGAGAATAAATTGGACTCTCAATTTTATACGATTAAGTGGTAATTTCGTACAATTAATCGGGACGGCTGGCTCGCCACGCACGCACAACCCCGAGAGAGGTCGGCAGCGTTCAACTCGACTCGAGCGCTTTCCAGCAATCTCGCAATCCTCTTCTACAAGCGTCTGACTAGTCGATACGATTCATCGGACATCACCGTGGGGTCATCCCCGTCAGTCACGACGGCGAACGCGAGCACGCAGCGCGGCTCGGCTTGATCCGACGACCAAGAGACACGGACCTAAGTAAAACGACCTTGCACAAACAGCGCGACGAACGGAGGAGCGGCGGTGTCGACGACCGCGCTTGTTGTTAGTATAGCTCGCGCGAGAGATGCAACCGGCAGCGCCTTTCTACAGCCTTGACTGCAACCTCCAGCTCTCGCGCCAGTTGCGCTCGCTGCTGCGCCAAGCCTCGTCACGTGCGAGAACGTGCGTGCTGTAACGAGAGCGCGCTGCAACAAAAGCGCCCTGCGTTACGTTCCCGATAAAGACAAGATGAATTAACGTTCCCTCCCCCCACCCCCACCCCGGGCCCGTTTCACTTCTTTTTTTTGCTGTCGTCGCTGAAACGTCGCGGCGCTATTGTGCGCACTCGTTACCGCTGCGCGCTGCATAATACGGCTGCTAGTTAAACCTTGCGATCGAGAACGTGCCGCGCGTGCGACGCGCCGCTGCGGGGAATTTTGCGACAACTTTTGCGCGGCAGAAGCGGCGATAACAACGCGTCGCGAGCACGGCGACGACGACGATGACGCACACACGTCGCGTTTGCGCTGCGAATTTACGGCTCGTCTATTCCCGCTCTCAAATTGTGCTCTCCGGCGCGGCGTCTCCACGCCGGATCCTCGCGTCCTGCGTTGCGTTACGCAAGTTTACGCGTTACCGTACAGCCGATAACGTTTCAACGTGCCTTGTGATATTTCGTCGTTATAATTGGATATCGAACAACGAATTACAATTACGATTGGATCGCTGGCTGAGGATTCAGCAATCGCGGTGTCCGCCATGTCGGATTCTTGTTTAATTTAATGGGAAATACTAACCGGTTGTGTAATTAGATATACACGAAAGAGACGTTTCAGAGAGAGTCTTGATCGAGCTAAGCGTTCGTCAAGCATAAAATATGTTATGTATTTACAGACCCGAATTTTCACGAAATTAAGCGCCGTTTAGTAACGAAGGCATCAACATGCTAAGTGGAAACGACCATGTTCCGGTGTCTTGACCCGAAACGAGTCCCCTTGATTTTCACGTTCATGTGCTCGCGCGCTTGTCTGCTTGACGAGCAAACAACCCTGAAATAATTTCACGACACATGTCGATCTTTGCTGGAACATTCTCACCGAGACGTTCCCCGACGCCGCGTCGCGTCGCGTCTAAAGTCCCACGTGCGACTCGCGTGACTTCTTTGTCTCCGCAAACTGTCACCGCGGCAACAAGAAGAGGAGGACCAACAGTGCAAAAGCAAAAAAGAAAACGCAGCCCTAACGGGAGTATTTAGCCCGCGAAGCGAACTGCCTGTCCACACGCGAGCGCTCATGACGTGGACGGATGTCGGAGTGAATTGGCGCAATGACCATAACCGGGGCCCAACGTACCTAATGCGCGACCATTTTTTTTCCCCGGCCGTGTTAAGCCGGCCGCGGGGACGGCCTCCGTGTCCGCCGGCGCGAGACCCACGCGATGACGGCCGAAATCATCGAGGAAAAACAAAAGAAACGAAAAAGAGAGAAGAAAAAAGGAATATTCGCACATACTCGTATACTCATGTGGCATGTGTGTCATTCCTCACAATTAGATCCCTCGCGGCGTGAAACGAGCAAGATATACCCGGCCGGATACACCGCGTCTCTCGGCTGTGCTGCTTCGACGCTGTCGATCTCCCGACAGCAGCCCGACACCCACCCGCCTCGTTATAATCTCGCGCTCGAGTCCCGCTGTACGGGTTACGCCGAGGATAATAAGGTCACAGCGCGCGATCCATCTAGCCCAGTCGCGACGACCTTGCCTGCGTTTCCACCGACGCGGTGTATCCGCCAATTTTTCTCGCCAAGCGGCCCACTCGATCCGATGATCCGCCGCGTGCTCCTCTCTCTTCCTCTCTAGTGGTAATTCGATTTCACGACTCCCCGGGGCGCGACCGCGTCGCCCAGGGTAAGCAGCCGTCGGAAGGCCCTGAAGAGAGGCGGCAGTGACAGTGGCAGCAGCCGAGTGCTTTAATAGCGTCGCGGTCGCGAGAATTTTTCATTTGCATTCCGCGGCGTGCGTTCGTCTGCCTCCTCCCTGGCCCCTACCCTGTACCACCCGGGCGACTCGAGAGACAATACGTGCTCCGCGAAGCGCGGATGGTCTCCGCTTCCCGCGCAAATTTGCAAGCGTGGCCGCGTGCGCGTGCATCGCGTTACCGTCGAAGGACGAATCGACGTGATCGCGGCTACGTCTGCTGCGCTTCGGAGAGACGGATCGGCCGGTGCAACTCTCTCTCTCTCTCTCTCTCTCTCTTTCTCTTTCTCTCTCGAATTGACTCTGCACCAACTCAATTTCTAAGGTTGCAAATGGCGGAGCTAACTGCCCTCGCGCGTTCGTTCGCAGCAACATCTTTCTCTTTCTTTCTGCGGGGGGCGAGGGGCGGGAGAGGGGGCGGAAGACCTTGGCGTCGTAAAACTGAATAAATGAAAAATGATATACCTCCGCTATCGCGGTAACAGAATTTGTCTCGATATAGTCAAGATAATGAGAGCAATTTAGTCGTTGGCAACTTTTTGCCTCTACAAGCGACTTTCCCATTTGAGACCCACTCTCCCTCAGGCAACGAAAATTTTATTACATTAACGAAACTATCTTTCAGTTTAGTTCAATGAGTCGACTGCGAAACCGAGCCAGCGCAATTATTAGTCGCAATTGCTTATACTCTACGAGAACTAATAGTATCATAACGTCAGTGAACACCCGCGCTACAATGTTGACAGTGTCAACGTTAAAACGACCAAGATTAATATCTCGATAATCGCGCAGGTGTGAGCGATGCGCGCTCGAAAACAAAGAAGGCAACTCGGGGGATTTCGTTCCCGATAAGGATCGACTGACATCATCGCCGTCGTCGTCGCGCGTGGTACACATACCGAGTGGTATTCTCGCCGGCGAACTGCGATTTTTCGCTGTTGAATGGAGTGCCGAACGTCATGACAGAGCAGACAGGCGGACGTCGCTGCGGGGTCCCAGAGTCCACGGTGGTGTTCTTATCAGCGGTGCGACCGCCGAAGAGCCCGGCTAGTCAGCTGATCGCGCGATGCTTCATCGCTTCGGCCAATGTGCGCATAACGGCGCGGATCTTGTCGGCCGACTACTGTCCTCTCCTTCTCCTTCTTCCTTCCCTTCTCCTCCCACGCGACCACAATCGGCACTTTTCTCACTTGTCTCTCGAGCCTATCTCCGGTTATGTGTATGTGTCTGTGTCTGCTTGGATGGCGTATGTGTGTCCTCGAGTTAATCAAGGGGACGAGAGCTCACCCGCTCCTCTCTTCGCTTATTCCCAACGTCCAACGGGAAGCAAGCTTGGATTCCAACTCTACGCGAGAAACAACACGCAGCTGCCACGGACTTGTTCCGGAATCCTCTCGCGGGAAAAATAGACGCGAGCGAGCGTCCCCGATTCGACTCGAAGAGCGAGACCGGAGAGTCCGCTCGGAACCGAGTCTCGCCTTCCTCTTGGTGCGCCGCGGAGGCCGCTCCGATCTCTCGGTGCGTCGTGCGTGTATGTGTGTGTGTGAGTGTGCTAACGGTATATCGCGAAGAGACGTTCGGAGATTTACCGGAGCGAGCGGGCGAGGTGCAACGACCGGCTGATCGCGTTCGCCGTCGCGACTTGTCGCGACTCGCGTTGTCGAGCACGAGCGGCTTCGCAGCTTGGAGCGGACGCCTCGCGCAACCTAGACGGCGTGTCGTCGTCTTGGCTGTTCCGAGCTGGATATCGAATTTATGGCTATCCGACTCGAGCTCTGCGCGATCCGTAGTGACCTGCTTGCCCCCTCCGATTATCCGGCTCCGATACAAGCCGCGCTCGTGTCAATTGACGTTCACGTCGGCTTTCGTTACCGGATACGCGCGCACGAGCCGTGCTCTCGCGATCGCGATCGTGATCCCGATTCCTCCAGAAATGAAGCGGTTTAATTCGCCGGCGGTAATCCTGATCCGCTTGAGAGCCCGTTCATTCCACGGGGAGCTCGAGGCTACCGTTGATTAGAGATTCACTACCTGCGCAACAACTCTGCCGCACCGCGCGACCGACTCTGCCTGTCCTGTCGCGACTGACTCGTCTCGGTATCACAGATTGACGGATGTCCGTCTTTGTTTCGAGTTGAGGAGTTTACTTCATCGCAGAGTCGCTTATCGTGATGACGCTTCGATTAGGTTGTCGCAATGTGCTCGGGGAGTCTGCGGTATCACGGCCTCTCTCTCTTTCTCTCTCTCTCTCTCTCTCTCTCTCTCTCTCTCTCTCTCTCTCTCTCTCTCTCTCTCTGTCTGTCTTTCTCTCTGTATCGCTGACCTATTTTATCTCGCTACTGGATTTCCGTCGAGCTGTCGGGCAACAGAGGCGCGTAATCCTTTATTCAGGTTCTTCAGCTCTGCTGGCTGGTGCCGTTCTTGATTCGATGTCGACGCGGAAATCGGGAAACGTCTCTCGTCTCGTCTCGTCTCGTTTCGTTGCGACTGTTATTCAGACTTCTCGTCCGCATCGCATCTGCACCGCGACCGCCCACTCGTTTCGCGTTTCTCGGATTTCGTCGTTGGAATACAATAGAACTCTTTCTCAATTGATCCCGAGTCTCGCCGCGATATGCGCGCTCGTATTTCCCTTCGAACTGCAGGCTCTCTCGTCTCTTCGGTCTCGGCGCAATCTCCCCGGCCGCTCGCCTCGCAGCTTCCGCTCCACGATCGGATTCTCCCTCGACCAGGATCCCCGCTTGATTATAATATAATAAGGACACCTAGTGTAGAGCACCGGCTATTTTCCTCGGTCACTGCTCGTGCACCGCGCAAGATCTCGGCGCGAGTTATCTCGTGCGAGTTATCGCGAATCTCACGCTCGCGATCGCCCTTCTCGCCCAGCGAGAGCTCACAGGGTACTCTCGCGCGCGCGCCACTACTCCACATCTGCCAATGATTACGACGGAGTGTTGTCGTCGCGATGAAACAGCGTCGTCGTCGTCGTCGTCGTCGTCGTCGTCGTCGCTTCCACCTGCCGCGCGCGGCTACTCGCTCGCTCGCTCGCTCGCTCGCGCTCTCTCGGAGTAACGATCGCGCGCACCAAGTTGTGCGACTACGGGGTGCGAGAGAATGAAGAGGAGAGAGAGAAAGCGAGAGAGAGAGAGAGAGAGAGAGAGAGGGGGAGAGAGGGAGACACGCACACACAGAGGAACGACGCGAGAGGGAGACAGAAGGAGAGAGCAGGGGAGAGAGAGAGAGAGAGAGAGAGAGAGAGAGAGAGAGAGAGAGAGAGAGAGAGAGAGAGAGAGAGAGAGAGAGAGAGAGAGAGAGAGAGAGAGAGAGAGAGAGAGAGAGAGAGAGAGGAACCGAGAGGGATCGACCGCGGCCGAAGTGCAGCGAAGAAGGTTGGCAGCGAGAGGCTATAGACACTCGCAGCGGGTACTACTGCTACGCGTCGCGCCTGGCACCCGACTGACTCCGGCTGCGAGGATGAAGCCAGACGACGCGGACGCGGCTGACGCCGCGGACTCGACCGCCCCCACCAGCCACCGCCGCCTCCGACGTCGTCATCGCCACCCCCGGTAGCCAGGCAGGCGGCTGGAAGGACGGACGGGTGAAACGGCGGCCACGGCTGTGTCGCAGCACCACCACCACCGTGGCAACCCCCGATATCTTTCAAGCCTCGACGTCGTCGCACCGCTTCCGCCCGCGACGAGGAACACGTGTCGGTCGGATTAGAAAGCGCCGTATCTGGACGGTTCCGTTTCCGGAGAGATCATCAATGTTAAGCCCGCCCCCGTGCGTTTCCTAATCTCCCGAAATAATTGGCGAGTACGCTTGCTCTTGACACGATCCTATTGTTATAAAGGGAAACATGAGCTATGTCCAGTGATGCGAAATGATATCTCTCGTAATAAAATCTGATATCTCTGTAATACACGACGGGGGAGGATAGATCAGGTAGAGAAGACCAAGTTTCAGAGTTGCAGCAATTTCGCCGCGCAAACTGCGCTCGAGTCCAATTGAGGAAGAGAGAAATCGAGCTAACTTTGGGGTTTGTTTCAACACAAACGAGAGATAACGGGAAACATGAAAACGTAGCTGAACAAGGCTGGTCAGGGCGGCTGACCTGGCCGTGATAAAAGCGTGAAATCGAGTTCCTTTAACGCCATTCCGGCTTGTTTCGACTCATCAAACCTTTTTACAGCGTGGCACTAAACGAATAGCGCGATCCCGCATTGGAAGGAAAATACACAAACTAATAGCGTTTAAAGTTTCAAACGAAACGCGATCCGATGATCGAATCCGGCGTAACTAATAACCCATCGCGGCTCGATCGCGCAACGAATCTCATTTGTATCATCGAGGGCTTGCATTTATATCGTCATGCGGAGTATTTGTAAAATGGATTTTGCGCCAATTTCGGCGCATCATCGAGAGCTGGCATTCGTCCGGTCGTTCGCTCGGACACGATTATGCGAGCGTGTTCGGTTTACGGATACGACAACGACGGCGTCACCGGAATAAGCAAACACCTGTTTGCTCGCATAATAACGACACCGTCGGCTGCAAGCTTTCATCCGTGAAAACGTTGATATACCGCACGTCCAGGGCGTTTAAATGAAAATAAGTGACACTCGTGGGACGAAAGTTATGTAAAGTACGACACCGTGTGTCAACGCCATTTCTCCGTATTTATTATTCCATCCGAGCTGGACGCGTACGACTCGGCTTTTGCACACGGGCTCATCGATTAACGATAAATGAGTGACGCTCGGGGAGCAATGAATGAAAGATTTATCCGCCGCCGCCTCCCTAGCGACGTCATGGCCTCCCTTCGACGTCGTCGTTTGGTAATTTTGCAGCCGCATCGCTACGTCGCCGGGGCGAAAGGCAGCTTGCAAAAATGTCAAGCACGCTCTCGGAAGGATTCTCCCGTCTTTCTGCAAAATGTCAGTTCAGCCGTGAGATTGTCCGCACAGGTCGGGTGCACACCTGGCCTGGATTATTTCAATCCGAGAGACGATATCGCGGCGGAAAGCTCGAGTCTCGAAATTTCGGTCTCGGAATGGACAAGCCCACGGCCCAAGATAAATCCGAGCAGACGTATCTATGACGCAACGCGCAGCTGTGGATCAGCAGGATCTATCGGGTGTCCGACGTCACACTATTATTTTCAACTCTCGACATCAAACCTGTCGAAGCCTGACCTACCTCTGAGACGTCGAGATATTTCCAAACGGATGGATTGCGGATCGATAATCGGCTACCTCCCTCTCTCTCTCTCTCTCTCTCTCTCTCTCTCTCTCTCTCTCTCTCTCTCTCTCTCTCTCTCTCTCTCTCTCTCGCTCTCGACTAACATCGCGGAATTAAACGGGGCTCCGGGTCGGCGCTAAAAAAGCGGGACAAAAAAATTACGGGTAAACTGAGACGAGGGGTAATCGACTGCTTCGCCTATTTCGTAATACGTGCACTGTAATAAAGGGCTGTTGTAGGTAAAACATCGGCATTTTCGACGTCATCGTTGAAGCGTCCCGATCGAGCGGGCATTTATTTAATGGCATCGTCAGGACGGTCGTTTGTTAACGCGTTTACACAAGGGGACGGAATCATCAAACCGCCGCGCCGGCGCGCGCGATACTTTCGGACTTATCGACAGCAAATAGAGAGCGCGCGCGAATGTGAAATCGTTAAACGACGGTATGTTATCTCCTTTCATTCCAGGGGATTCCCCTCAAAGGACCCGGGATCCCATCGCCCGCTCTTTCTCCATTTCCCCTGTTTCGCGCCCATCTATCGGACGTGCTCGCGCAATATACGCTCTCGCGTACGTACGTTCTATCGCGCGAACACCTCAATTGAATTTTATTAAATCTCGCTGCTCCTGCGTAGATCAGCACGTTCCCCCTGCCAGCCTCCTTCCTCCCCCCCTCTCTCTCTCTCTCGCTTGCTCTCTCCCTCCCTCAATGCTACACTTCTCACGCTCTTCATGAGAATGGAAGGTTATCCTATTCGTATCAGCAACGGCACAGCGACTGTTGCGCGCCCTGTGCGCGTATCTAATGACTGGTAGTTGGCAATTTATTGCGGGTACATGCGCGTACATACATAAGTACGTACATTTCCCGCGTATCCAAAGTCTCTCACGGTAGATGCGCGATAACGAGCACGTCGCGTTCGCGTATCTAGCAGTACTGTTTCGCCCGCCTGTTGGTGTGCGCTTGCCAACTTGCACGGCAGGATGGAGCCATTAATTGCGCCAGGACGAGCCTAAGAGGTCGGTTGGCGATACGAGTAAACCGAGCTCCAAGGGACTGTATTACACGCGACTTGAGATATATATATACATATAGTTATTTATATATATATATATATATATATATATATATAGTTATATACATATATACGTGTAATACCGTATTATCCGCGTAACAAACGCATCATCACGTTCGTCCGAATTCAAATGATCGTCGCGATACATTCAGGCAAATTGATAAGTCCCCGCCGAGGGAGATTGCAACATTTTCCTCCTGGTGAGTTTCAGTTTCGTCCGGTATCCGATAGGAAGGCTGATAAAACTTTTTAAAGAAAGAAAAATGTTGCAACTTTCCCGCTGCTGCTTACAGATACGGATGCATAAACGCAACGTGGATATTGCAGTTTCGCTCGCGAATAAACAAAGGCCCGAGCGCGACAAAGCTTTGAGAAAGGGAGAGAGGGGGGGGAGAGAGAGAGAGAGAGCTGAAAGTACACGAAGAATCAAGCGAGTACTCTAGTTTCCGATACATTCGAAAGCGAATACGGGCGGTGCTATCTTCGGCACGATTGCTCGATAGTGACGAAACCGCGTAGGAACCCGTGAGTCAAGCGAGTTATTATAGATCGCGAAATCACATTTTTCTCAGATAGCAGTAGAAGGGACACGTAGGACAGAAGCAGGCACGATTGAGTTACACGGGCGGAGAACTGCCCGTGTGAGCGGGACGACTCAAAATAAATCCGACACTCATCGTGCCCCGGCGACACATCCACTCGCCGTACCACGTAAATCCCTCATCTTCAACCGAAGAGCGAGAACACGCTCCGGCCGAACGCACCAAGTAGTTGAAGAGCCGCTTCGGTGGAACTAATTTTCTCCGCGGCCCCAGAGCGTGTTCCAGTTAACGCGACCAAAAATACCGCGAGCGTCTCATCTACGGCTCATGAAATCCTCGAAATAGCGAAATCAACGGCCGTTCGCGGCCGCCGGGAAATCACTAGAGGCGTAGCCTCGACATTATATTGAATACGTTGCGGGCGAGAAACACTGGGCGAATCCTGCAGGATTCTCGAGACGACGCCTTGCACAGCAGGACACGTGCGCAAAAATCCCAAACGGCAGGGAGACCGGAAACTTTGCCCTTGCTCGTCGGCGAGTGTGGGCGAGTTGGACGTTCAAACGGATTTTCGCGCACCCCGCGTCGTAGCACCGTGAGATGCACAAGGACGAGACTGCAAAGATGCAGATTGCACGAGTCGTGTATAGAAGCGAGCGACGGCAGGAAGTAGCACGATAATTATCACGCCGCAGCAGAAACGCTCGCGCAAAAATCAAGTCAAGCGAAGACGCGTCTTTACTGGGTCAGGAAAATATCGCACCTCGAGCCCGTGCGCGCTTCGCAGGAGCTGCTCGCTGCAAATGATCAGGATCACGCATAGGGAAAGAGAAACATGTTGCCGTGATCCGCGGCCAATTAACTCGCGCGCGACCTGATCTTCTTTCACTCTTTCTCTCGCTGCGCGACGACGATTCAACTGAATAAACGGAGACATTCCGGCCACGACCATGAAGAATATGTGTATGTGATCGTGACCATTACGAGAAGAAACTTCGCTGAAGCTTCTACCGCCTCGCGATCGCTGACTGATAAAAGACCCTTCTACGTGTGTACGCGCGTTCCGCGTGTGTATGCTGGATAAACTGAACGACGCTAAAAGCGGGGTCAATGTACAGTCAGACTCGGTAGCTGTTGTGGAGGGATAATAACCGTCGTATTCCCTCGACGCAAAAGGACGAGCTGGAGGAAAGTGTGTATCCACGCGGAATAGACGTATTTTTTGACGCGCGCGCGCGCGCGCTTGATTGATAAAGCTCATTCGTAAGCACATTCGCGTGTCGACAAGGTTTCGCTAAA